GGACATAGAGAAAACATAGGTGATGATGAAGAGTCCTGGCCAACAGCAACAGCGACGACATTAGACAACGATCAGCACAAGTGGGAGAAATCTCCTTTAACTACCTATCTACCTACCTACCCACCTGGGAAGCATCGTTTCAACTACAGGCGGACACAACTGATGAGTATATGAAAGCGAGGATCATCGTGAAAGTAAGTCAAGCTTTCATTTCTTTCAAGTCTGTGTGAACATGAACAGCTCTCAGCCTGAAAATGAAAATGAGATCCGGATTTTCAACTCCAATGTGAAGTCACTAGTACTTACTATACGTATCAGAGACTTGGAGCCGTGCCGTGCCATGTCACGAAGGCCACTTCAAACAAACTGCACACCTTCATCAACAGCTCTCTTGGCTTAATATTTGCTCGCTGAAGATGAGATGGCCGGCCAGAAAACATCAGCAACAGGAAGAGATTTCTGAGAGTGAACTAACCAGGAACTGATTGTGCAACAAATACGCAGGAAGAAATGGAGGTGGATTGGATTGTGACCATACTGTGAGAAAACAAACCATCAAGTGAGTGAAATCACATGCCACGCTCTCTATCGAGTTGAACCCTAATGTGAAGCGGCAAGTTAGTTGTTCGTCAGTGCGAGGGTGACATAAAGGTGGGGGAGGAGGAAGTGGTACGAAGAGGAAATGAAAGCACGTGGGCAGACGTGGAGCGAGGTGAAAACGTTGGCGGAGAACCCTGGAAGCAATGAAGACGTTCGACTGAAGACCTATATTCCTCTAGGAATTAAAGGAAACAATGATAATAATATCAACTTTTGTTTCGTCCATAAAATAATGCAGACCAGAAACAGTAATATAAAATGAAACACCAAATGCTTCTACTTTCGATTTCAAACAAGAAAGATGTCTAACAGTAGCTTTTAAAAACAGTTAATTTCATTATTTCCGCCAATGAATGAATGAATAGTCAATCGTAAGACTCATTCGATATCCCAACCAACCAACCAACCTTCCTTAATTCCTTCCTTACCACGCTTACTACTCACAAGTAGGACAAGCTGTGTAGGTAGGTTAAAGGAGCCTGTAAGTTGACCCAATTAAACAAAATAATATAATATACAAAATACCTTCCAATGACTGTGAGTTAGGTCGACTACCTACATAGGTGAGTCACACCAATAGATCGGGAGTAGCGAGATTGTCTGTCAGAACATAAGAATTTAGCTAGGTGTTGAATGATTGACCCCGCGTGCACTAACACACAACGACACAATAATGGAGGGAGAGGGTTAAAATTGTAAAAGTGATGTAAGTAGGAGGCGAGAGAGACGTCGATTACTGAATCTTTGTTTATCGAACCGACTCCGCCCAACTCAGCAACAATACCAGAGACAAGGAAAGTATTAGTACCAATCAAATCAAGAGATGAGAAATAGTGGCGAAGTTGGAAATTTGTGTGATTAGTGCCTTGATATGATGACGATGAGCAGCAATAAATTATGCTCGAAGCCTGTGGTCATTATCAGTAAACATTACTGTATAACAAGCACTGTGAGACTTTATCAAAATTAACTCTCGCCATAATGGAATTATACTCTACCACCACAGTGTACAAGTTCTATTCTTGTACTTCAGGTTACACTGACAGCATGCTGTCAATGGACGTGAACATTGAACGTTTGTTTATTGGAACTGGCAGCCATTGGTGGGCAACTCGAAGGCGCGAATGGTCTGATAGTGTGCAAGTTCAATGAAGACGGAAGAATACGAATAAAAGTACTTTAAAATTTTGTCTAAAACATTTGTCTATAGACTTGTAGTTGTCTTCACTTTAATTGCCAAACAACTACTGGTGTTTTGGATTTGAAGTCGAGACAAGTACATAGTCATTATCGGTTCAAAGCGTCTTCGTTACAATAGGAACTTAGGGCTAAGTTCCTTGACAGCATGCTGTTTACACATTGTAAAATCAATCATGATGGAATTGATTATAACTTATATTCATGCATCTAAAATTGTCAGTTATTGTGTTGTGAGTGAGTATCTAATACAACCAATTGAGTGTGACATAGGCCTCTGCAAGAACTGCTGCGGGATAGTCCATTTATCAACAACAAGTAAAATAAGAAGTCGTGTCATCCTGGAGAGATGAAAACAAGATGCTTTGGAGCAGAATTCCGTTCCCGAAGAAGCTGAATTCAGCAAAACGAAATCAAGTTCAGATAAAATTACCACGATAGGCATCGTTGTCGAACAGAGCATAGAACAGTAGTCAAATCACTACCCCTAATTCATCGACTTTGAAAAAGCCTTCGATAATGCTGACTGTGAAATAGTTTGGAAGTTGCTTCAGCCTTTATGGAATGCTCCAAACTTGTATCAGTCTCATCCAATGGCTATATGACAATTCTGCAATGTCAAGTGATCAACAGTAGAAAACTCAGAGGAGTACTGGAGATGATAACACGAATAAGAATAGGCTGACTAATATCAATGATAATATGCCTAACTTTGGTGGATTGAATTATGCGAAACATCGTCCGCTGGGAGCGAGAAGGCAAGAATACGCTGGACTGATAACATGCCTCTATAAAAAATGTGGAATTGATGTCTAATGTCGCACAAACTCGGAGACTTAAAGACGAAAACTGACAAACTGGCTGAAGAGGCTGGCTGGCTGGCAGCAAAGACAGAACTCCAGGTGAACATAGACAATACGGAAATAGAGGTGATGAAGATAACCAACAAACCAACGAATAGCAATAACAACAATAACGACCAACACCAATCAACATCAATGGGAGAAAGAAGTTGAAAGAGGTTACTTATTGACTTCACTTATCTTGCTAGGCAGCCAGCATCTTTTCAACCACACGCAATAGGGAAAAATCAACATGTCAAAGCCAGCCATCTAGCCAGCCGACCAGAAACAGATAGCCCAGATACGCACTAATCACTCTGAGATCAATTTGGAAATCTTCAGCACTGCACTCCGCCTCAGCATAAACAACAAGATTCGCATTCTATTCAACACCAATGTCAGTGAAGTCAGTCAGTGAATGGTAAGCGACGGATGCGCTGGCGTTGGGTGGGAGTGTGACATAGAAGAGATTGTGTGTGTGTGAGTGGGTGAAGGGAGGTTGAGGAGGAGGAGGAGATGACAGACTATGGGTATTTTTGGTTATCAAGGTGAAGAGGACAGAGAGGAACAGAACAAAAAGCGACTGTGTCGTTGAAACCCAAGGGAATATCATTAATACACAAACTGTAAAACTTTTTTTCAGGCTATAAGTTAGATAATGAGAAGCCAACTCAACAAGTCATGGTATCATCTTCTTATTCTGCAACAACTGTTGCTCATTATTTATTCAGATACATTTTCACTGAATAGTCTTAGAATATGTAGCATAAGTGATGACTTCGTGATAGTACATTTCCGAAATATTGATTTTTACTGAGTAGCCCCTAAGCCTTCACTGGTCACCGTCAGTTTGATTTCCTTACTGTTGTTGTATGTGAAATTCCTTCAAATGGACTAGTTGAAGGTGCTTCTGAAAACCTGTCGTGTGATCACATAAATTACATACAGTGATTCCCTTTTATAAATTTGAACAAAGAAAGAAGAAACACTGGCGTAAGATAATCTGGATCCATTTTATTTCATCGGTTCTCATCAGCTGCGTACAACCTGAATTCTTTAATAAAATAAAGTGTCCAATTTTAACAAACATTTTTCCATTAGCAAGCATATTGACAGAGCGTCATAGTGAAATAAGGCGTTGAGATTTACAAGGTGTCTAAAGTGTTATGACGTACATATATATATCTTGTTAGACAGAAGTTAATTAATTTTTTCAAGACACTTCTCTCTAACAAGATATACATATATATATATATATATCAACGCCTTATTTCACTCTGACGCTCTGACAATATGCATGCTAACGGAAAAAAGTTTGTTAAAATTGGACAATTTTTATTTTATTAAAGAATTCAGGTTGTACGCAGCCGACGAGACCTCCGACAGCGTTAACCGTGAAGTATTTCGGAAACTATTTCAGCACTATGAAGTTCCCGAAAGATTTATCAAGCTATTTTAGCAGCTATGCGGAAATGCCACATGTCAAATAATCGACGACGGAAAACTTAGCAGTGGCTTGAAATCAAAGCAGGATGAAGAGGAGGCTATATGCTACCACCAACATTGATATTCCTAATTTTAGTGGACTCGATTATGTGGAGTATCCTCTTTGGGGAGAGAGAAGACAGCAATAGTTTGGACTGACAAGGTGACTGTATTATTATTTAATAATGCTTCCTTGGGTCCCAAGTGCAACTTAGGACTGGCTTCAACTACACATCTCCACTCTCTTCTATTTTCTGCTATGCTTTTCATCTGGCTAGCCCCACGATTGCCCATAATCTCTCATCTCCACCAACTCACACGATCTCCCACATGTCGCACTCACATCCACGATCCACTCGTCGCTTACTATTTGGATTCCACTTGAGTGATGGATGGCCTGCATTGAGCGCGATGTCATTCGACGGTTTCTACAATGTATGCCCAGTCAATCCATCTTCATTTTCTCCTATATATTTGTTGAGCGATCGGCCCTTCGTTGGTTCGTTCATCGCCAGAGTTTCTTGTTGCTAATGCTTGATGAAATTCTGCAGAATCCTGTTGGAAATACTTTTCCCGACACGCTGGCCAAGTTTCTGACCTGTATAGAAGCACTGACCGACTTGAAATTGATTTAGAATAGAATCCGAATCTTGTTGTCTATGCTGAGTGGAGAAGAACATCTCTTTATGTATATACTACTGACAAATCTTATCAGTAGCACTCGCCACAATATGAATGGTTATTTGTAGATGACGGAAAACTTTCATTGACATTCTCGTTATTATCGTTTTAACGGTGACCTAGAAGTTGACTGTGGGATTGTTGAGCTCATTAAAAAACAACAGACATTGAGAAACAAATTTAATTCTCACTCACTTTTTCATCATATGACGATCGATTGTCCAGTTGAGGAGAATAAACTGAATCCGCGTGTTTATTGTCACCTCCAGGCCATTCAGGAGCTTCATTCAAATAATTTGTACTTCTTTTTTTAGGAAAATGTTTTATCACGGTTTGCTTTCTCAGACTATTATTCGACGATTTACAAGCATCAGGTGTTGATGCTTGTGATCGATATAAGTGTTGATAGTGTTGAGAACTGCATTGAGGAGAGGGTGTTACAGGTCCAGATGACGCCCTACTCTTCAAATCCTTGATTATTTTACTTGCATTCTGGAGTTCTCCGATAATCTGCGTGTCACAGTCGTGTAAGGATCCCTGGAATAATAGATAAAGGCAATCGGTTTGAGTAATACTCATGGGAAAATTTAGAATAATAGTAATAATAATAATTATAGCTTTGTTCTGAAGATGGCATTCAGACACCCTAGAGAGTTTTCAATGAGTTCCACAGCAAGTTTATTTACTCTGTGTGTAAATAACCTTCAACCCTTTTTTATTCCTTTACGTTCGCAGTGTGGAACATAGAGTGACTTCAAGCTAGAGCTATTTGAAGTTGCTGTAGCAGTAATGTTTATTTTTTTATGGGATGGGGTTACTGCCAACCGACCTTCCCTCTTTACCAGTCTTATTACTGGCTTAGCAAGCGAGGTAGCAAGGAGTGCATCGGTGGATGGTGGGTGGGCTCGAACCTCGGACCATGCGCATGGTCCGCGAGCGTCCTAACCGCTGTTCTACCGACGCAATTCATCCGAAGCATGTTTCAATACTACTCCAACAATATGGTCTTCTTCTTCCGCCATTTTCTTCGATAATATCTTGACGATAGTCAGAAACTTATTTGAAATTTTGTTTGTGAGTACAGATGACAACATTCATTGTGGTAATTAGATGATTCAACAGCTGGTTTTTGGTATTCTTCACTTCACATACTCTATCTAATTGGTATTTGTGAAATTAACTCAATTGATCTTTGTTGGTTGATATTTGGCTTCCCTGTGGCCGTATGCCTCCAACCATCTAATATCATCAAATCAATGTGTACCATGATGGCAAGCTACCTAGAATGGTGACCACATTGCAAACCTGACTGAGAGAATTCAGTCTGCACCAAAGAAAGAACTAGACACATCACACTAGTTACTAGTGTCCAATCAAAATATCTACTACAGTCCTACAGGAGGTCAATCGCGAGTCACTGCGAATAACGCAGTGCTGGTAACGTCTCTGACTCACCACAGTAGTCACTGGGTGACGCGGGTTCGAATCTCAGAAGTGACATGAGTCCCTTCAAGGTTGCAGATACGCCTTGCAGACCGGTGATTGCCAACTAGCACGAAACCTAGGTCCAAGGCTTCCTTTCAAACATCTAATGTCATCATATAATCTACTTTATTCCAAAAACAGCACTACTTATAATACTGAATGGGAGTTTCAGCATTTGTCACAACATCTTGCATCTAATTTACTGAAAACACCATAAATAAAATTAACCACAGGAACGCCTTCACATTTACGGTAGGAATAAAGTCAAAAATATTTGAAGTACAAAATGAGAATAATAACTCTGATGATGACAATAATAATAACAGTGAGTTTGTTTCAAACAGTATTGTCGACTCAGTTTGGAAATTTTAGCACGTTAGTATATAGTGTTGAATCTAATGTTCTCTTGATATAGAATGATGAGGGGAAAGACACAATTAACAGTTATTACACAGAGCTTAAATGACATTTACACTTATGAGAAAATAAACAAAAACGAAAATTGAGAGGATTATAAATATTAGAGGAATAATAACAATAAATCTTGATTAGTGGAATAAGGATGGAGAAAATGGTTTATTTACCAGTACAAAGAAGGTTAGTTAGTCAGTTAGTTAGTTAGTTTTGCCTGACAATATTTTCAGCACATAAAATACGTGCCACCAAAATGGTATCGTGGAATTATTTTTATACTTAGACGTGAGCGCATGAAGTCTTTTGATGAAATGACTTCTTGTTTTACCTGAGGAGGAGACATAAGGTGGAAGTTGAGGGTGCTGCGATGGATCCTTGCAGTCTGACAGAATTCCTTTAGCAAATTTGTTGCATGAAATCAAGTGCCTATCAATGACATACTCTCTTCTAAGTAATCCAGGAAAGAATAAGGGTGAACAATAAAGAAGAACGGGTAAGATGCTCAATCTTAAAATTGATAAAAACATCGTCATCACAAAAGCTGATAAAGGAAACTCCACAGTAATTTTGGATTAATCTGATTATGTAAAGAAAGTCACTGAACACATTGAAACAGGTCCATATAAGGAAATTAAGAAGCCTGTAGATACAGTAATGAATAAGATTAAGAAATCTACAGAGGATTTAATACATAATATGAAGCTGTCACTGAATGAGTCAAAATGGTTTAATTTAACGCCCTAAAACTAATAACGCTAGTAGAATATATGCTACTATAAAAATATATAAACCAGGTTACCGCATAAGACCAATAGTAGATTTCAGAAACACTCCTACTTATGAATTATAAAAACACTTAGATCTAATACTATGTCCCATTAGAGATCATCCAAACTGTAGGCCAGCTGACTAATTCATATGGAATAACACGGAGACTGAATGACATTCAATTAGAGAATAATGAAAAAAACTTGTTTGGTTAGTTTTCATATAACTAGTCTTCACACTAATATTCCAATCAATATGGTAGCCTTAGAAGTAGTTGAAAAAGAGATATTCAGTCAGTTTAGTGTTATATTGATGCATATTATCAATCAATATGGCAACCTTAGAACCAGTTAAAACAGAACTCACTACTCATCCTGAACTTACTCATAGGACAAAGCTACCCACCGAGGAAGTTATTTTAGGAACTCAGTTATACCTCACATCTACTATCTTTAAATTGCAGGGCAAAATATTTACACAAACAGAAGGTGTGTAGCAATGGGATGATGGATCACCAATATCCCCTATCATCATAGTAGGTATCTTTATGAACAGCTGGGAAAATATGGCTCTTAATACATTCATTTACTTAATCCTACTCCAAATATATGGCAGAGATATGTGGATGACACTTTCGCACAGAGTGTTAAAAACACACAGGTATAAACTCACTCTTAAAGGGAATAAAATTCAGATTTGAACCAGAAAATGAACAAGGAGAATTAATCACGGTGTTAGATTGTAAAGTGAAACGAACAGAAGAAGATAAACTGTGTGTACACTGGCGTTTATAAAAAGCCAACGCATTCTCCTAATAGATGTTTAGACTTCAATTCATCTTATTCGTTCCTTATCTGTCTGTGAAGGCACGCTTAGTTGTTAAGTGTTTAACAAACCGAGCAACAACATCACTAGGTAGTACAACAAAACACCTAAACGATGTAATGAAACAGATAGAAGAAGAATAGCTGGTTGGTGTTAAATAACTAACTATTGTATAAAATTCATTAGGAAGATCAAAACAGGTCATAAGCAAAATGAAAATATTGGTGAAACTAATGATGATAACATAAATAAGAGAGAAAATGGGGCAATTACCAGAGATATGCAAGATATTATTACCACCAGTCAGTCAAATCACAGCAGGATAATAAATAATCTTAAAATGGATTCTATTTCAATTCAATGCAATTCACATACACATTATAACATTCTAACAACAAGTTATTTATTTATTTTACTATAAAAACAGTCTCCTCATTTCCCTTCCCATCATCTGATTGTATTGGACTGATTGATTGATTGGTAACACCGATACTATTATTATTATTATTTCCGAATGTACTTTCTTCTCATCTTATATTACTGATTGATTTTATTCAATCGAATGTTGTCTAATCATCATCAATTTCTACTTATGCATGTATATAAACGACGAAGCAAGAAAGTTAGTAGTGTGTGTGAGCAGTGCCTTGATATGATTATGATTATGAGTAGTAGTGGCAATGATAAATTGTGCTCGAAGCGTGTGGTCATCATCAGTAAATATTACTGTATAACACAGTATGTGATTTTCACAAAATAAAATTTTCTCTATAATGGGGATTTTTTCCAATTTTTCGTCGTATGATTGCATTTCGGGGCGTTGCACACCATAGTGCTGAAGTTGTGGGCATCCTGAATCAAGGAAATTATTCATAATTACTGTAGATTCCCATTCTTCAAAAAAGAGTCGAATTAAAATACTAAATATGGTGGAGCATCGGACACTGAATAAAACTCAGGACTATTGCAATTCAGACAAAAGTCACATCACCATTCCTGTTGTGTTTCTCCACTGTAAATTTTGAAACTCTGAAGAACTTATGAAGTTTACTCACTTACCAGAGTAAATTAGTTGAGATAGGATGTTTAGCTCACACATTTACCCCTGCCTACTGTGACTTAGTGGTCTAGGCGCTTGATTACCAAACTATGGGTCATGGTGTGGCGTGTGCTACTCATAAGATTTATCAGTAGTATATACAAAATAGATGTTCATCGGCAGGCATAAAAATATCAAATGGCAAGGAGGTAGATTTAATGTCAGTCAGAGAAAGCGAATGATACCGTGGTGTGGAGATACATCAGAGACGTGAAAGGAACACACAAAGAAACACCATTTGAAGGAAGGCGAGAAGTAGCACAACATGGAAGATCTGTGAAAATAGTGCGTGGAAGACAAGATGTATATAATTTGGCTATATGGAGATACTGAATCTCAAAATAAACATTCTGGCTTGGATCCCTGGCCGACACATTCTTTAAACGTTGCTTAGTAAGTAGCATGCTCAGCAAAGAGAGAATGTTGAACGTCAGTAGTCTAAGAAGCTCACCTTGTGAATAAAAGCAGTACTTCTATTGAAACTTCAAAGCGGAAGCTTGAAGCTCCTCAAAGGAAAACAATTTCAAATAAGGCTTACGAATGAAGTCTGACACATGAAATTTGTGAGTTGGGATAATAAATGAAATTGACTTTGATCTGATGTGCGTCGGTGGCATAGCGGTTAGGACGCTCGCCGACTATGCACATGGTCCGGGGTTCGATCCCCGGCCACAGACGCACTCCTTTACCTCGCTAAGCCAGAATTAAAGCTGGTAAAGAGGAAAGGTTGGGCATGAGGCTAGCAACCCCATCCTGTAAAATAAGCACTGCCACAGAAACTTCAAGCCACTAGCTTGGAGCCTTATGTTCCACTGGAGAACGTGAAGGAAAAAAAAACTTTGATCTGATCATTATATAGAAAGCCTACGTGGAACGGCCATTTAACAAACTTTTATGCAAGCGGAATCTGATAATATGCAGTCGTAAATCATTTGAAAAAGAGACC